ATATGCGCACCAAATTTACAGATATCTTATAGATATTTTAACAATAAGTATAATTTTTGTTTACATTCCTATGGGTTCCGTACCAATGCTTATCCGTTAGACGGCGGCGCGGCGCTTACGCGCTTTGATATTTCGTCTCTATGCAGTTAAAGCCGTACGATTGCTTTGAAAGAAGTTCAGAATTTCCAAAATATTTCAAAATACATTTCTTCAAAAAGTCTTTTTTACAAAAAACAGTAAATTTTTGTCAAATATTTATAGTTTCTCAAAAAACTAATTTTTCAGAGTGAATTTTTTTTAAAAATGTTAATCTTAAAAAAAATATTTTTGGTACGGTAGTTCCAGCAATTTGCCTTAAGGCACGATGCCATGCGCCCCACTAGTTATAGTTTTAATTTATCTTTACGTTTCAAAGGTTTCTGACCATTTTGACATACCTTAGAAAAAATACATGTATGCATGTGTGTGTGTGTGTATGGATACAAACGTTCGTCGACGATTTCGGGAACACGGTTCATCCGATTTGAATATTTTGAAAAAACATTACGGAAATTTAATCATCAATTATATTTTTTAGAAATTATTGATCAAAAATATTCACCAGACCCCTCACTATCTGGCTGCATCTAAAATACAAAGGGATATAAAACCTGTAATTACTTATACAGCTAATGACTAATCGATTTAATGGACTTAATTTCCTTGCTTATTGAATATATGTTAATACTCTAATAATTAATGCTTAACAAAGAAACTTGATGGATATAATAATTAGAAGGATTCAAGTTCTTTAAATGTTAGTTGGTGCCTTATAATTAATATACCAGATTTTGACGTCATTATATATTACATTGCATTTTGAATGTAATTGCTGTTATTTTTAAGAATGACTCTTAAGTCTTAAGTGTCTCCTTCTATTTTATCGAAATTCAGTTAATTGTTTTATTTGTAAAATGCTATCTAAACTTTAAAACAATCTTACAATTATTTCAAATTTTATCAATATTGCATTCTGTAATAATGAGAGCCCTAAATAATATGTGCAACCCCAAAAATCTTGTTTTCTTACAATTACAATTTTATAGATTAGTTAATTTAAATTACTTGGTTGCATTGTACAATATGGCATTTTTCTATGAAATTTAAAATATTTTAAATAATTTATTCTATTTCATTCCAGGTTCTTTTATTCGCTTGCTTAGCATTTGTTATGGGTGCTCCTCAACAAGGACCGAGTACAGAACCAATTCCCATATTGAGACAAGAGCAAGAAGTAAACTTTGATGGGACTTATAAGTGGAGGTGAGACTTTTAACAAATACTAAATATTATAATAGATCTTGACCAAGATCAGGTTTGACTCACATAGACATACACACTTAGTTGCAGTCAAACAATTCAGAAATAATTTAAACGTTGGGTAAGAGGGAATTAAATTATAAATTTACTTTCCAGTTATGAAACCGGTAATGGAATTTCTGCAGAAGAAGAAGGTTTCTTGAAAAATGCTGGCAATCCAGAAACTGAAGCACAAGTGAGTTAAATTGAAACATTTTCATTTGATGAACAAGATGGTGTTTATTTATACATTGCTATTATTTTCTTAAGGTTGCCCAAGGTCAATTCCAATACACTGCCCCCGATGGCCAAGTCATCCATTTGACTTACATCGCTGATGAGAACGGATTCCAACCCCAAGGAGACCATTTGCCAACCCCACCACCAATTCCTCCAGCAATCCAAAAGGCTTTGGACTATCTGGCTACTCTTCCTTCCACCACCGAGCGATATTAAATTATTAGATTTAATAGATGATTTTTATTCGATTAATATATTTACTTTATATAAATAAATAGTTGTATGATACAATAATGACAGTTTTATTCTTTCTTTTAATTACTACATTCTGTAATCGTAAACATTTATTTAAATAATATATTGGTAGATAAATTTCAATGAACATTTTTGAAATCGTGGACTCTATTTATATAATTTCCCAAAATTGAAAGTTTTGTTCCATCATCGGGCTAAGAAGGAAGCTATGCCCAACTCATTTTGTACAATTTTTTTTTCAAGACTTACATTGACGAACATCCTATGCAATCACAATACTTTTGAAGAGCATTTTATTTTCTATGCAAAATAAAGTTCTTGAAAACTTACCTATCAGAACTATCGAGCAATTAATGCAGTTCATATGCATCTCACCACAACACTTTGTAATTTTAATCTTTAACTGTAATAAATTAACTTATTATGTACAGATGCAAGAAAAATGATTTAGGTAAAATCTGAAAATAATGTCATAAACTTTAATTAAAACTTAAAATACTGATTTTTTACAAATCAAAATACTAAATTTTAATTCAGTCACACACTCTGCATGCCGGCAAGTCGACCTGTCATTTTGACAGTTTAGGTTATGTAGGCAACTTCATACAGATTAATTCGAACTAGGTAAGGCGGCAATTTTGAAAATATAGATTGCACACATAAACCTTATACTACAGTTTAAGAATGTAGTATAGGATCTATGATTCTACACCATGCAGCATATTATAGTATTTTATTAAATAATATTATTGTTAATAACTATATAATTATTTAGAACACTCTGATTTAAATATAAAACATAATCTTTCTCAGAAATTGTAAAAAGAAATATTCGAACATTCATTCCTACAGCAAGTGAAAAATTATGTTAGAACTTTCAAACTAAATGAACATTAATAAAATAATAACTATGGTCTAAAACTATTATATAAAATTATCTAGAGGTTAATGGAAAATGTTATTTATTAAATAAAGGCACAATTATTTAGTCATTTTCTCACATGTACTACATTAATAATGAAAGTAGTTGAGTTATCGATTTATATACATATAAAACTATATTGTTTGTCTGATTTTTTTCTATATTATCATAACATGCATAATAATTTCAAAAGCGTTAAGAGTAAATAATATGCATTGTATAAATAATAATTTTAGAAGTGTTATAATTTGTTAATTATTCTCCTTCGGAATTGGTTATTACAAATAAATCAGGATTTCAATTGACTCCATGAAATTCTTATAAACTAAAAATGATCAATAATCGAACAAAACACTAAATTGCTGTTTTTATAAACATGATTTATTAGACTAATTTTTCTCAATCACAGTATTAATATCAATATACATCCTAAAATAAGTTATTTCGTTTATTTTTGAGGTATTATTGTATTTCTAATTTAGATATATATATATATATATATATATATATATATATATATATTGTATAATTTCATACACATTTGAGGTACAAAGTTATTGAAATAAATTTATACTTGTTATTTTGAACGCATGTTTTAAAATCTATTCCTTACGAAACATCTTTGCTTCAAACATCAAATCAACCAAAAATTTAACTCAACAATATAAATGATTCGTACTATCGATATGTCTATAAAGTTTCATTCTTTACAAAGCACCATAAGGAAAAACAGTGGGATTGTTTGATAGAAAAATATACTAGCTACAACAACGTTGTAATTGATAATAAACTTGAGACTACAATAGATATTGTATAACATGTTTAGAATTGCATTGCTCGACATAAAATATGTATGTTTGTGAGTGTATTTACAATTTATAACTAAAAATTCTACTAAAATGAGAACTAAAAAAAACTATCAAAACATATTTGTTTCTATCTCAAGAAAATGTGTAGCTTAAACTTTTACTGCTGAATTAAAAAAAAAATAAGATAAAAGCCTATAAATACTCAATAACACTAAGTATTTTAATATTTTTATTTCTAATCTATAGATCACTTAACAGAAAATCAACAAAACGATCTTAAAATCCTCTTTAGTTAACAACTAAGTAATAAAGATATTGTTTACATATAATAAACTTTAAAGAAATTTATAAAAATAGCCGTTTAGTGAGCTATTTTTTAAAAATATAACTAAAAATAATATTTATTCATTTTTTTATAAATTTTTGAGTCTACTAAAATTAAGTTTGATTCAATTAAAATTAAATACGTAGAAATTATATAATAATAATTATATAACATATAATAAGCAAATGATTTTGATCATTCATCAAAATATTGTCAATTTAAGTAAGTCTTTTTTGTTAATTATATATATATACACAATATATAATTCTAAATATTTACATGTGTAATTTTTTCATTTTACACAGAAGTTAATTTATATATACCAGCAGTGTTATCATATATATGTCCCTGATGCTAATTTCATTTAAATATACATAGTATGTATTATATTCAAAAAGAGATATGAATTAGCTACGTGAGATCAAAAGATGAAAAAGGTATTGCTTTAGGAGTACTAGGATCTTAATAAACAAAGAAAGGCATTGCTTAAAATGTCAACTGAGATTATACATAGATAATGGTCAATAAGAAAATTTCAGGGTTATTACTCGTTCCCAAAATTAAACCACAACAATGATTTTGATAGTCATGGTATTATAATCTAATTTATCAGAATATTATATTTATGTGTAATATAATTAGTCAATAATAATTAAATGTTTATAACTTATTATTTTGCAAAATCTAGAAACTGTAAGCATTGCTTGTCATTAATGTTCTAATAATCTTAGATAGATTAGGAGAAGAAAATAAAAATAAATAAATTTTGATCGCCCTGATATATATGTGTATAAATATTTCTTATCCAGCTAATAGTAAGTTGATTTTCGTAACATATTAAAATAAATAAAACACTTTAAACATCAAATAATAATGATAATTGTAAAGTAATACATTTTATCCATGTAGCTATTAATATTCTAATGTAACTGCCTCAAGAGCTGGTATAAAATGCACTAACAATAATTATAAACTACTAAATAAGTATGAACACAAAAATCAAGAAACCTATTAGCTGGACAAAAAAAAATCAATATTATATGTCTAGTAAATCTTATTTTTATTTACTGTTTTAGGACAGGAATCCTTCTTCGTCCTAGCAAGTTTTGTTTCATTTCCGCGAGTAAAGCTTCGAAGGAGTCTCCGCTTCCGGATGGAGCAGATCCGATACTTCCACCAGTTCCGCATATTGGACTACTTGATACCAACGTACTCCGGGTACCATTTTCCTGAATTCGTCGTTCTGGTAGCTCAGCACAGCTACACCATCTGATAGATTAAATAAAATATAGAAATAAAGTTTACAAAAATATTGGAGGAACAAATACAGATTGATAACAATAATAATAATAAAGTTAGGAAACAAACAATTATATGATAATGAACAATTATAAATTAATAAAGAAATCTGTGATCTACCTAAATCCGCGTAACTAGAATCGCAGAACTGACGTCGTCCTCCAAATGCTACATTGTAGTCTGCTAATCGAGGGTCTCTGGAGGCTCTCTCGACAGCATCATAGGCACTACTAGCCGTTGTAAAAGTCACGAAACCATAGCGCATACTACAAAAAAATTATATCTTAAAATCTGACCAGGAACATTAAATAAAGATGTAATTAAATGCAAAAATAATAAAATATGTACAGAATAAATATGATCTATAATTTATATACTAACCCATTATCCTATATATATTAATTGATATCATGCATAATTCTGTCCCATATTTAAGGAAGAGATTGAGGTCATATTTGGTCAAAGAAGACTCCAGGTGACAACGAAAATACGCGCCTTTCATTATTCGTATTGTTTTTCGAAGAACCTGAAAGAATGAATTTATACCATTATATAAATAAATGTATATATATATATATATATATATATATATAGAATTTATGATATGAGTGGAACGAATATTAATTGTTTAATATGAACAAAACAGCACTCAGATGTTTAACACAACTTTATTTATGATTACAGACGTTTCGAGACCATGGTGTGTCTCATCTTCAGTGTAATTTCAAAAACAGTTACTTATATACTACACATTCTTTAATAATTTATTTAAATTTCATTTAATTTTTGGTATACAAAAACACCAACTATTCCTTGCAATGCTTGACACCGTACTAAAGAAACATATAACACTTACAGAAATATTCTAAACAAAATTTGAAGTACTTATATAGATGGAGACAGAGAGGGTATCATTATAATGTAAACAGAAGGAGTGCTATCGCATACAAAATCGATAAAAATGAAAAAACAAATTAATTTATTGAAAAGAATAAGATAAATGAAAAATTTATAAATTATTAATGATGTTTATATAAGTGTCATGTAAAATATTTGTGTCGGTTTTAGATTTATGCTATTGTTAGTCCGAACTATTAACATTGATTCTGCCATGCATTGTTTGGATTGCAATTGCTCTTATATTGGCCAGACCTGCCAGAAACTTAGAAAAGAGACTCAGGCAACATGAATTACAATGTGAAAAAAAAAATACAAAAAAAATTAAAAGTACACTTGTGGATCATGCTAATATCAACAACCATAAGTTTGATTTTGACAATCCCCAAATTTTATTCCATGAGAAAGACTTATTTAAACGGAGCATGGCAGAATCAATGTTAATAGTTCGGACTAACAATAGCATAAATCTAAGAACCGACACAAATATTTTACATGACACTTATATAAACATCATTAATAATTTATAAATTTTTTCATTTATCTTATTCTTTTCAATAAATTAATTTGTTTTTCATTTTTATCGATTTGTATGCGATAGCACTCCTTCTGTTTACATTATAATGATACCCTCTCTGTCTCCATCTATATAAGTACTTCAAATTTGTTTAGAATATTTCTGTAAGTGTTATATGTTTCTTTAGTACGGTGTCAAGCATTGCAAGGAATAGTTGGTGTTTTTTGTATACCAAAATTAAATGAAATTTAAATAAATTATTAAAGAATGTGTAGTATATAAGTAACTGTTTTTGAAATTACACTGAAGATGAGACACACCATGGTCTCGAAACGTCTGTAATCATAAAATAAAGTTGTGTTAAACAAATCTGAGTGCTGTTTTGTTCATATTAAACAATTAATATATATATATATATAATATATATATATATATATATATATAAACTACAGCAAACCCGACGAACTCCGTTTCGCCACCAGATGGTTTCGTGAGAAAGATGAAGAAATTTTTTGTTTGTTTTATATTTAAAAAGGAAAAATTTGATTTTATTACACAACAGTAATGAATTTATTTCGATTACAAAAATGAAGTGTTTTTTAGTTGAACTTCTCTAAGTAAATGAAAGTGAATCCGAAAATGATCCGTTTCATTGAGGTGCTCTTTGGTAAACCACATTTTTTGTTTTTGGTCTGACGTTAACACAAACAAAGCGGATGGCTTTCCAACTCGTGAACAGGCAATGTATAACTGCCCATGTAAAAAACAATGATTTTCTGAATAATCTATTTGAAATTTATCCCGCAAACACTAAGCGATTGGCCTTGCGACTTGTTATTGCGAACGCAAGGCAAACTGGAAATTGCAATCGTTTGAAATCAAGCGGAAGACCAGTCGGAATCATTGGTATGTCACCAAATCGCCAGCAATTTTTGATTCAATGGTGAAATACAGTGCGTGTACATCATTATTCTTTGCGGCAAGAATTGCTCGTTGACTTAACCAAGCATAATTCTGATAATTTTCACTAATGACATTACTCGAATTTTTGATAATCTATTTGAAATTATTTAAAATAATTATTTTCATTACTCGAATTTTTAATTACAGTGCGTGAAGTTCCAGCAATTTGCATTGAGGCACGATGCCATTAACATCTAAATTTCTTAGCTATAACCTTGCGGAGCCCGAGAACTTTCCAACGAATGCAAAATTGTCGAAACCGGTTCGTGCGTTTCTGGAATTAAATCGTCAGGAAGGAAAACCCGACTTATGTTTATATATATATATATATATATATATATATATATGTGAGCTCAAGTCAAAAGAGTCAAACAAGTATTACCTCTGCTTTTCCTTTGCCTTCTGAAATTTCTATTTCTAGATCGTGATCTTGATCGAGTTTTGGAACGGGACCTGGATAAAGACCTATCAATAGATTTAGATCTTCTGGAGTTTCCTCCACTTGAAGACCTTGAAGTCGTTGACGATGTAGAACAGCGAGAATTTCTATACCTTTGCAATTAAATAATATTAATATTAACTCATAAATAATTATAATAATTAAAAAAAATGTTTTATCCGAACCTCCTATTATTCGGTGATCGTGATCTATTCCTAGACCGAGACCTGTTTCTGGACCTGGACCTGTTCCTAGATCTGGATCTATTTTTGACAATGATCTATTTTTAGACCTCGATCTGTGCCTAGAACGAGACCTGTGTCGCCCTTGTCTGTCTTTTTACGCCTTTTTTGTCTAAATATAATATAAAAGTAGTATTCCTCTTCTAATGGTGGAACCTATTGAAAATATTTTATAAAATTACCTATCTTCAGGAGATCTA